AATGCATGTGACTTTAGAGAATTTGTATTATGTAACAGGATGTTATGTCTCGAGGAAACATTTTATTTTTGTTTAGAAGCTGTAGAGGCTGTAGAGGCCTACATGTATCACTCACTTCTTATGTAGCCCTGAACTGTAAACATACAATTACTCTGCTATTGTTAGCGTGAAACCAAGCTGATTTGCATTTATTAGGATTTCTTACTTTCTTTTTTTTCCAGCCGTAGGAGCCGTGTTGTTGCTGAATGTGTGGCTGTGAATGTCATCGCCGTCATTACTTCTGCTCTTGTGAGCTGCCATGTATACAAGCCATGAAGCAATTAACTGGTTTTTGATGTTTTGCAGAAAAATAAATTACAGCACTAAACAAATGAATGTTGTCTCACTGGTTTTTCTTGTGAAAGACGTTATTTGAAAGCGGCCTGGATCAACGAGCCCTGAAACGAGTCCGAAATGCGGAGTCACTCCTGCTATCGGGGGCCTCAAAAGTAAAAACAAGAGCCGAGATAAATCACATAGCATACGCTTTGTCGAAACACAACGGGTATTTAGTGCTTCCCGTTCAGCATCCACTGGCCCCGTAGGTGTCATCAGCTACTTAACCGACGGCGTGCGCTCAGCTCACCACCCCTGTGGCTCGGCGGAGGTCTTCCGATTGGCTCGATCCGCGTGACGTCATTCGGGTGGTAAAAGGGAAAGAAGAAGAACCTCCACTTTCACTGCAATTGATTGAAATGTAGAGTTGAAATGCATTACCTTTGGCTTAGCTCACTCCTGTGATGACGCAATGTATTATAATAACGCGATATATGATATAATATAATCGTGCGTACTTCAAATAGAGAGTTCCGAGATCTGTTTGAGATGGTGTAGGAAATGAGTCATTAGCAGCACCACAATGAGCTCCACCTGTGGTCAATAAGTAAGTTCAGAAAGCACAGAGCCACCGAGCGCTGTTTTCATTCGAAGCCTGAACCACTGATAATATCAAACATACCCTTTATTCAGTGCTGTAGTGGTAAAATTAGAGGTGGGTAAACTCTGAATTTTGTGATCATACAGACCTTGACGCGATGCGAAGCAACGCAACACAAAGCGTCGCGACTCTGTAAGGCTGCCCTGGCTATATTGCATTATGTTATCAGTAAAAGTCATATACAATCAATGACAATGAATACATGTGTTAGTAGTTTATTAAATTTAAGAAAACAGTAAAGAAAAGTATGTCAACACAACACAACAAGACAGTTGCAGATTAAGAACTATCTACATATGGAGTCTCCTTTTCACAGTAGTGCCCAGAGGGCCTCCTTGTCCTCCACGTCAGGTCCTGCCTTGCACAGAGCTTGTTCTAAACTTTGTTATGTTCGTGTCTGTGGTTTACGTCACGCAGCCTCGTGAAGAAGTAGCGTTGCACATATCCTGAAGTGTTCCAAGACACGCCCAAGGTAACCAGTTGTTTTAGATCCACGACACCAAAAGGTTTCCTTTATGCTGATTTACGTCAACAATATGAATAAATTATACTAAGGGTCAATAAATTGCTGTGCGTTTCCGTGGTGCACTGCTAAGAGCTGCCACCTGATTGACATTTTAATGTTTTGATCCACCGGGTTCGAATCCAGGTTGTGCCGATCTTTCTTTTAATATATTTTTTTATGTAAATGTTTTCATACGTGGCCGTGATGTGGTGCTCACTTATACAATCGTAAACGCTGCAATGGATTTGTGATGCGTTTTGAAGATTTTCAGCAATATGTTTGTGAATGTGTGACGAATCAGGGAACTGAGGCGGACACATCTGCAGCTTTGGAGTGAACACAAACACGCACGCGTAGGGAAACCAGTAGGTGGAAAAACCAGTAGGGGTGTAACACCGGTCCGTGAGGAAGAAAGGTTGGGGCGACTGGGCTGATCCACAACGTGTATGTGCCCCCTGGATCCTGATTGGTCGCTGCTGCAGCCGCAAGGCACTGATTGGATGCTCACAGACCGTAATACAGCGCAGATGAACATAATTCAGACTATGGCGTTTATATGTTCAACAATAGGAAACGTAGTCTTAGCTGTTTTAAAATTACACCAAGTTTATTTCGGATTATTCCAACGGAAGAATACCAGGCGCAGGGAACTTTGAGATGCGTAAACGCTATTTCCAAAATTCCAGAGGTGCGTAAACGGCGTTTACGTCCGTTTACCCGCCACTACAGCCCTGGTTGTACGTAATAGGCACTTGTGTTGTGATCTGTAACGGAGCGTTTAAGACCCCATCATTGTATTAATACGAGATACCAAATGAAGAGCCAGAAAACGACTGTGGGATGTTTTATTAGCGTGGTGTCTTTGTTTCCTGACCAGCCCATGCATACCTGGTGTTGGCTGAAAGAACACGCACAATTTGTTTTGGAACCAGAAAAGCCGCTGAGCTTCTACCAGCAGCCGCCCAGAAGCGTAAACACACCCGAGTCTTCTACAGCGTCTAAGACAATTAAATAAGAACCCTTGGATAGTTCAGGTGGCTTCAAGACAAACTCAGTTTATGTCCAAAATATAATTTAACCCAAAAACAATGGAATGTTGATATGAATACCTGAAAAGTTTCACAGCACCAATTGTCGAAAAAATATTTTAACACCAGGAAAATGGTCGAAACTGTGATACCTCAGATAGACAGGTGTGAGCCTTTCTCAATCATGTCCAATCAACAGAATGTAGCACAGGTGGACTCCAATCAAGTTGTAGAAACATCTCAAGATGATCAGTGGAAACAGGATGCACCTCAGCTACATTGAGTGTCATGGCAAAGGCTGTGAATACTTATGTACATGTTTTCGTTCTTTATTTTTAACAGATTTGCAAAAATTAGCAAAAAACAGTTTTCACTTTGTCATTATGGGTTGTTGTGTGTAGAATGTTGAGGGAAATAATGAATTTAATCCATTTTGGAATAAGGCTGTAACATAACAAAATGTGAAAATAGGGAAGCGCTGTGAATACTTTCCGGATGCACTGTATACTACCGATTCACAAAGTCCTGCACTATAGCTGGGGGGACATATTAGTACTGTTAAATGCTTGCAATTTCCTTAAAAATGCAGTGTTTGTACCAATCCAACTAGCATCAAACTAAGCTGGACGACGTCAGTGTAGGTCACAGCGTAGAGTCCTCCCATTAACGGAATGAAAAGAACAGCCGCTACTTTGTCGCCGTATTTCTCCTGAAATGGGTCCATCAGGGTGACATAATTCTTTGAAGCCATGGGTTTGACAAAGAAGAGTGCACCTGAAGCCACACAGACAGACGTAGACATCGTATTTAAAATCAGCGTACTGATGAGAAAATATTTCCTATTAAAAATGTGCTTTTCACCACAACAGTAGGCAGTTGTGTTACTCACCTAAAACTAAGTTCATGACAAAGGCGAGGGGTCCAGTGGCCCACGCCAACCCCTTTGTTGGATCATAGACCACTTCAGCATTACCCAATATATAGCCTCCTCCCACCCAAGTGGCTGCAAAGCATCCGGACACACACACACACGGGCAATACAAAAGACAAGTAATGTTAATTATGGAATTGGAGAGATTCAAACTAAACATGTCAATCTGCTTTGAGTACCCTACTTTTAAAATAAATGGCACACAGCTTGAATTTCACCGACTCCTCCAGGAGGCGCGTCTGGATGACTGCGGCTTCCAGCGCTGCTTCAGGCGGACCATTACAGTCTGTGAGCATCCAATCAGTGCCTTGCGGCTGCAGCAGCGACCAATCAGGATCCAGGAGGTGTGTAAACACACGGATCAGCCCAGTGGTCCCCAACCTTTCTTACCTCACGGACCGGTTTGATGTCAGACAATATTTCGCGGACCGGTCGAGAAGGTCCGACGTGGGGGGGTAGTAGTCGTTGCGGGCGGAACGACCGACGGGGGGGTAGTAGTCGCGCGCTCTGTGTTCGCTGGTCGTGCACGGTAAAAGAAAAACTCCTGGTTACGCGTAGATTAGAAAACAAGTCAGTTCTCAATGTGAAAAAAAACATGCTGAGTGTTCCTTTAACTTATGTTGTCAGTGTAATTGACAGGCTGCTTAACTGGTTAACTCTTAAATTCAACATATTTTTTCAGGCAGTGAGAGGACAGGCAATGATGCAGAGAGCACAGGGAGAGGAGAAACACCAGGTCCAATAGAGAGAAGCACAGAGGAGCCATGAATGTGTTCTGGGGTTCATGGCTCCTCTGTGCAAGACAGGACCTGATGTGGAGGACAAGGAGGCCCTCTGGGCACTACTGTAAAAAGGAGATAGTTCTTAATCTGCAATTGTGTTGTTGTGTTGACATACTTTTCTTTACTGTTTTCTTAAATTTAATAAACTACTAACACATGTATTCATTGTCATTGATTGTATATGACTTTTACTGATAACATAATGCAATATAGCCAGGACAGCCTTACAGAGTCGCGACGCTTTGTGTTGCGTTGCTTCGCATCGCGTCGAGGTCTGTATGATCACACAATTCAGAGTTTACCCACCTCTAATTTTACCACTACAGCACTGGTTACGTACCAACTAACTTACAGGCGTTCAGTCTCAGCTGTGTGTGCGTGTGTGTGTGTGTGTGTCTCCGGTGAGCGGCCGTTTAATAAAGTGTATTCACGCTGTGGCAGCAGGACGACCACCATTAGAAGTGGGTTACACATTCGCAACCTCTTCAAGGTCGACCTCCGACTCAGAACCTTGTCCGCTTTATGAAGGCAAATCAATGTTAAAAGCTGAGAGCGCCAATTAGGTCCAATGCGCGCGCGCAAACCAAACATCTGCGAGCCAAAGGTCCGTCTCGCGCGCTCTTTGCTCGCTCGTGCGTTTCTTTTTGACAGTAACGGGGGAAGACTCAGTCACCATGGTCTCTACATCCAATTGGTTACAAACCTCGTCTTTTGATTGGTTGATTTTATCTCTGTTGAGAGTTATGCGTTCCCAGAACTATATAAGCCCATTTGCGCACTTTATAAAACAACAATAACGGATAGAAAGTCGATTTAAGCTCTCTTGGATTTTGACATTGATTTGCCTTCATGCCTTTTGCTCACATTTCTTTCACTTCTAAGTTTGAAGGCTACAGTGAGTGAGTATATTTGTGGCTCCTTGTGTTAGTTTTCTTCCACCATACTGCTTTTAATGATGTCATATATAAAAATGGTTGATAGTGTTAAGTGCAGTTACAGCGGTCTGAATATGGGATGGTCGGGACTGTATTGTCTTTTTTCTTTGTAACAAAAATAATATTTATGATATTCCGAGAAGATTGCAGGAACTCGGATCTGTTGAGGTAATAAAGGGATTTATGTTTGTGTCCTCTCCCCACAGACTCGGACGATGGCGGTTAACTGGCCAGGACTGCTGTCCTTATGCGTGTTTTACATGATGATACTGGCCATGGGTATCTGGGCATCCAGGAAGTCCAAACGCGAGGAGAAGAAATGCACTGGCAACCGCAGTGAAGTTACAATGGTTGGGGGGCGGAACCTAAACATCTGGGTCAGCATATGCACCATGACAGGTAAAAAAATAAGGACAACAATAAGGCCGTAGATTGTCGTAATCACGGAATGGGGCCTAATGAGGTTTGTAAGAGAAAACCATCCAGGTACATTTATTTTAAAAGTAGGGTACTCAAAGCAGATTTTGACATGTTTAGTTTGAATCTCTTTAATTCCATAATTTTCCCAATTTGTCCGGAATGTAATCTACACATTATAGCCAATTATTAAATAGATTGAAAATCTGGTAACATTACTTGTCTTTTGTATTGTGTCCGGATGCTTTGCAGCCACTTGGGTGGGAGGAGGCTATATATTGGGTAATGCTGAAGTGGTCTATGATCCAACAAAGGGGTTGGTGTGGGCCACTGGACCCCTCGCCTTTTTCATGAACTTAGTTTTAGGTGAGTAACACAACTGCCTACTGTTGTGGTGAAAAGCACATTTTTAATAGGAAATATTTTCTCATCAGTACGCTGATTTTAAATACGATGTCTACGTCTGTCTGTGTGGCTTCAGGTGCACTCTTCTTTGTCAAACCCATTCGGTCAAAGAATTATGTCACCCTGATGGACCCATTTCAGGAGAAATACGGCGACAAAGTAGCGGCTGTTCTCTTCATTCCCGCTCTCCTCGGCGATATCTTGTGGGTAGCATGTATCCTTGGTGCGTTGGGTAAGTCAGAAACCACAACTTGAAGAACAAAAATCCTTCTCAATTATATAAGTCTTATATACACACACGTGTATTATTATACCACTGAGAAAATAAAAAGTGAATTTGTTTGTGGTCACCGGAGGGACGATAAGCGTGGTCATGGATATCTCCTCCGCGCTCGCCGTGTGCGTCTCCGCCGCTGTGGCTATCGTCTACACGTTAATGGGAGGACTCTACGCTGTGGCCTACACTGACGTCGTCCAGCTTAGCTTGATGCTAGTTGGATTGGTACAAACACTGCATTTTTAAGGA